AGTCATGGCTTAACAGCTATTGACAATACTGCTGAGGCTACTGAGATATCATTTGTTAAATGCTGAGAGATAGCATATTATTTCACAAAAGCATCAAGACTCATTATCCTATCAAAGAAAGCTATCTGATTGGTTTGACATGATTTGTTCTTTACAAATGTTTTTTACAAATGTCAAAAAAGATTAAATAAATAAAAGGGGGAAGGGGAGACTCCCTGGAGGAAAACTGTGGATGTTGCTACAGCTCTTGCGGAATGAGCCCTGGGTGTTCCCGGAAATTCCTTATTTCAATTGGCATAACACGTAGTGATGCATGAAACTATGAGTCTAGAAATGCAGTAAGAGGAGAGTGATTCATTCATCTTTGGTCCACTAAGGAAACTAGTAAACATTGTGACTGCAGAAGGATCGGGTTCTGTCTATGTAAAATGCAAGTGCTCTACGCACACTGAGGGAATGGAGATCTTCCTCCCGTCAGGATGCATGTGGCTTGGGGTAGAAGGATGGGAGGATGATTGGTTCATTGTTGTGGAAGTCAGAACATACTTTGGGAATGAAAAAAGGGTGGGGTTACAAAACAACATTGTCCTTACTAAAGGTCATATATGGTGGTGCTGCCGACTCAAGTAATGGCAAGTACGCAACCCACCTTGATTGCCATTGAGAGTGGGGAGATGGCTAATGGTTCAAAAGGGGGTTGGGTAACAGTGTCCAGCACCATTTCAAGGTTCCACGCAGGTGGTGGTGTCCTGTGCAGCAGATTAAAGGTTCCACAACCCTTTGATGAATCTTTAGGTGGTAGGTGTACAAACACTGAAAAGCCATCTATCTAGAGTCGGAAGGTGATAATTGCTGCCAAGTGGACCTTCAAGGAAGCAAGGGCTAAGCCAGATTGTTTGAAGAGGAGGATACATTCTAAAATTTTGTGGCAGGGCACTGTGTATGGAGCTTTTATTAGTGCACCAAGATATGACTTTCTGCCATTTGTGAAGGTTACTGGAACACGTGGTTTGCTTTATGCTACGCATGAGCACCTCTTTTATTTGGCTTGAAAAGAACATTTCAGATTTGTGGAACCAACGAGGAGTCAGGCCATCAGGTGCAGAACCCGAGGCTGAAGGTGAAGCAGGGTCCCATTGTTCTGGGTTAACAGGTCATTGCATTTGGGTTGAGCAGATATCTGAGCGAGATAGGGAAACCATGTCTGTCATGCCCAGGAGGGGGCTATGAGAATCACTGCTGACCTGTCCCCTGTTGGTCTTTTCGAGGACCCAGAGTATGAGGGGAGTTGGAGGGAAGGCGTGTAACGGTGGGCCCTCCCAGTTGAAGAGAAAGGCATTTCCCAGCGATCCCAGCTCTGGAACAATGGCAGCACTTTGCGTTCTCGTAGGAGGCAAAGAGGTCTATTAGTGGAGAGCCCCATCAGCAGAAGATAGGGTGGAACACCTGATGATGGAGTTCCCACTTATGGTTTGATACAAAGCGTCTGCTTAGGAAGTCTGCAGTCACATTGTTGATCCCAGGTAAGTAGGAAGCTACTCAGGTGATTCTGTTGCTGATGCACCAATTCCAAAGACACAGTGCCTCAGTGCACATGCAGTGAGAGTGGGCGCTGCCTTGGTAATTTATGTAATACATCATCATGTTGTCAGTAAGTATTCAGACAGGATGGATACTGATGTGGAAATAAGACTCTTGCAGCTTGAGGGCTACAAACCAATTCCCTTCATCTAGCACTGGGATTATTGATGCCAGGGTCACCATTTTGAATCACTTCCAGAGGTACTGATTCAGTTCTTGAAGGTCAAGAATAGGCCTCCAACCCCCCATTTTTTTCCATGTGAGAAAGTAATGAGAGTAGAAGCCCTTGCATCTGAACTCATCCGGTACCTTTTCCACAGCTCTGATTGATGGTGGATATTCTCTTCTAACGTCTTCATGAGAGGAGTACCTGAAGAGGGATGGGGAGAGTGGGAGGTAGGTGGTGGTGTCGTGAACAGGATGGTGTAACTGGGATGCCATAACCTCGAGAACTCAGCAACTGGATGTAATGATGGTCCAGCCATGATGAAAGGGCCTCAAATATAGTGGTGAAAGGTGGGAACTCTGGAATCATGTAGATGTGAAGAGAGGAGGTTCTGCAAGCCCTCAACCAATAAGTCCAACTTGCTGCCTGTTGCTGTCGGGAATGGTCAAAGCCCCTCTGTTGGTACCTCGAATATGAAAAGTTGTGGTGCCTCTGATAGGGCGTGTACTGCTTGCGATGATATGGGGGCATGTATATATCCAATGTATGAAGAGCAGTTCTGGAGTCCTTACTTGAGTGAAGGACCTCATTGGTTCTTTCAGCAAACAGCTTTTGCTTATCAAATGGGAGGTCCTGTACTTAGTTTTTCAGCTCACAAGAGACCCCAGCAGATAGCAGCTACTAGATTCTCTGCATGACTATGGAGGTTGCTGTGCAACTGCCTGCCATGTCAACAATGTCGAGCGCGATCTGGAGAGCAGTTCTTGCAGAGGCATAATCCTCTTGAACAACAGACCTAAGGATTGGTATTTTCGAGTCCGGTAAGAGCTCCATGATAACTAGAGTAGCTGTCAAAGTCGTGGTTCGACAAAAGGGCTGCGTAATTCACAATGCTGAGCAGAAGGATCAAGGAAGAATATACCTTCCTGCCAAAGAGATTCATTTGTTTACTTACTTTGTCCACAGCAGTGTTCTTATACTGCAATAGCTTGGACCACTGTTGGGTGGCATCCACAATCAGGGAATTAGGTTGGGGATAGGAAAATAAAAATTCCATGCCCTTGGCAGGCACAAAATACTTATCTGTACACTTGTTGGTTGATGGTGCAGAGACTGGGGTCTGCCAAATTTCATCGGCCGCCTCCATAATGGCCTCATCTATCGGGAGTGCAATCTTTGCCTCCTGGGAGGGTTGTAGGTTTCTGAGGAGACGGTACTGCTTTTCTTGCACCTCAGTTAACAGGGCCTCCTGGCTAGCAGCCACACACAAACAAATCCTGAAATTGCTTCAGATTGTCTCTGGGTGATGCGTCGCCTGGAATAACTGCTTTGTTTGGGGATAAAGAGGACTGGCCCGTAGGGGAAGCATCAGGTTGCTGCTCCCTTGGTTTAGATAATTGTCCCTCAGGTTCAGATTGTTGAGATGGAGGGGGGAGTTCTGAAGTGCTGATGTAACATACTGTGTATGGGCAAGTGTAGGTGAAATGACTGATCTATGTCTGGAAGAAGACTCATGGCAGCAAGGTAACCAGTGCCCAGAGTATGTCGGCTGTCAATAATGGTAACTAGCCAACCAATGGGATGGATGGTCGTAGGAGTACCTATATTCATAATGCCTAGGATCTGACTGAATAGGGGGAGTTGTGTCTTGAGGAGAAAACACTTCTATGGTCCCCATGATAGGCTGCATGCATCGACATTGGAGAGCAAGGCAATCTCACTAAACCCCTTGAAGGAGGAGGAAGAGATATAGACGTGTCTCAGATGGGCACTGTATGGCGATATGGTGCTGGAGATAGCAAGGAGATTAATTTGTGATGTCTCCTTGGTGCAGGGGGCTCATACGCGGTTCTGGAACATTTAGGAACCGGTGCTGGCAACAGTGGTTCTAGACGAAGGTCCCAGACCGTATTTGATTTTTCATGGGCTTTTGTTGGTGCTGGTGGCTTGACTGGTACATACAGCGCTGGGGTATAAAACTGGGCTGTCAGTTCCAGTTGTGTCCCCCGTCAGCACAGATGTTGACGCTGGCATCTTTGCTGGTGTTGACATCTGTGGTGTTGAGGATGGTGGTGCTGGCGGCGGTGCAGAGCAGGGAGATGGCACCCCCACTTTTGGCACTGATGGTGTTCTGTATCTTGCTTTTGGTTCCGGGGCAGCTTTAGACAGCAAAAACTGCAGTGCTGGATGTTCTCAGTTTGTCCCCCATGCTAACCCAACTTCAAGTCAGTGGAAGAGAGCGCACTGGCGAAGCCCATTCTTGGCAGAGGGGCCTGAGCTCAGGGAACAGGTTCTCCTCTTTTCAGCCTGATAGGGTCTGACCAGGGAGTGGACGGTGGAGTCTGAAGGTTGAAGCACTTTGTCAAATAGAGGCATACACAATAACGTCTTTATCTCAGTGCACTCTCACCATCAACTTGGAGCAATGCGGACATTTCTGTGGCATATGCCTCACCGAGGAATTTTTTTTACAGGCAGAGTGTCCACTGGAAGCAGGCATGATCTCACGACAAGTGTTACACTTTTTGAAGCCCTGAGAGCCTGGCATTTTGAAGAGTCATCTTTATTGCTTCTTTTCATATATATTTGAGCTACGGTGTTCAAAAATAGCCAATAGCAGCTGTATCTCTGTTTTTTTTAAATCACAACAATTACTTAATTCTACGAATACTATAACTACGTAACTGGAAAAACTACTACTAACTATTTTTTTTTTTTTTTTTTTTTTTACTAGAAACTCTGAGGAGAAATGCTCACTCTGTCTGTGACCGAGGGCAGCAACAAAGGAACTAATGGGAGCCAGCCAACATGCGTGAGCAGAAGGGCGCAAACTGCACGAGGTGCCCACTGCGCATGTGCAGTCCAGCCTGCTACTGCTAGTGAAAACTCTGATCTGCAGTGCCAGGATGACCCAACACCAACAGTGGAGCACCCATGGGAACATCACACGAAGAATAATGTAGGATATACTTTTTCTGCCAAACTTAAAATGTGCAAGCATTTTATATTTCGTAAAGTGACAAAATTAAGACAACCTGAAAATTAGTTGAGTTTACTTCCTAACTTAGATATAAAAAGACAAAACCAGGAGATTAGATATATGGCAAAAACAAAATCTCCACTGAAATTAACACCATTGTATAATTTTATTTCTAATTATTAAAAAAATATAACTGAATTTAGAAGATAATCACAGTATAAGGGCCCTAAAATTTCAGACCATTACAAGGTACATAAAAATAGAAGACACAGAGTCCTTTAAAACTTTAATCATTTGATTAAGCAGCAAGCATATCACTGTTCCAGGCAAAAAACACTATTTAAAAAACAACCCCCCACCTCCAAAACAAGACGTGCAAACTGTATGCACATATTCTACAAAGCACACAATAAAAAGGACATTTTGCTATGTACATATGTTTAGTACTACAACTACTATGGTTTCCCTACTGTGCGTCACAGTGTACGTAAACTAAATTACACTACACCCTTGCCTGCCAATACAGCACCTTTGCCCAGTTACAGAATATTTAAACAGGATTAAATTGAATTACAATGTACTAAACAGTTTGACAGCAGTCAATGGGGTCTAACTGTAATGCAACACCCAACATTTTGCATACTGAAATTCTATTAACAATAGACAAGACAAAAAATAGCAAAGGTACAGTATACACACTAGGGAGACTTGATACCAAGACTTACAAAAAACAAAACCAAAAAAAAAAAAAAAAAAAAGATGCATTCTACTTAGGTATCTATTAAAATTAGATAAACAGTTATATCAAAATGCACAAGACAGGATTTTTGTCTGCTTGAAAGTCTGGAGGTCATAGTTGTTTGTGGGGTCCTTTTGATCTCAAACAATCCAATGATCATGAAGAAGTCTTCCTAATTTGTTTTATACTGCTGTTTTTCTTTCTAGAACAGCCACTATTTAATGTTCACGTGGTTGCTGGGAATCTAATTTTAGTGTGAAAGAAAACTCCAAAAAGAGGCTTCTGTATTTAGAGCTAAGCACATTAGCAGAGACAGATGTTTCAAAAAGCAAAGTCTCTTAAGTGTACTATTTCTGAAAAGTGTTGGGCTGACACCTTAAACACAAGACTACACATCTGATTTAAGTTACAAATATAGTAGGTAAAAGCTGCTACAAGAACTGCTTTTGCACAGATACAAGATTTCAGCAAAACTGTTAGACCTCAAAACATCAGGACAATTGAACCCCTGAATTTATTGGAGACTAAGGATGCAAATTTCAATTTGAAATTGAAGACCCAGTATAAGGCCAGTCTCCATTAAGCTAAGAACAGCAAGTTATGGATGCAGGGGACAGTTTTTAAATGCAAACATTTTCCCATAGCTTGACCCAGTCTGCATTGGCTCCTAAACAGCATTTAAGAACAGTAACTTTAAACAGTTTTTTATCCAAGTTTCTGACCTCATTTTTTGGGAGAACTGACAAATGTACAATTTCACATTTTAGCTATTGTCACTAAAAATGCAAATTATATTTTCAAATAATCAGGATAGTTACTTTTTTCAGTGAAGACCCCACAACTCCAAACCAAAAAAAAATGTAGAAGGATCAATAAACACTAAATGAGGACCTTTGTTACTATTTAATTGCTTTGAATTTGATTTAATGCATATACAACAAAACAAAACCCAAATGGGGGAAGGGAAAGCTCTCACAATTGTTTAGCTTCTACGAAATTAAGCTATTTCACATAGTCCCGCTGCCACAATGTTTGAAGATGCATTACCTGCTAATGGGCATTACCAGTTAAAGCCTTAGGTAAAGAGCAATAATATAGTGTGTGTAACTCTCGATATGACCATTTACAAAGGAATTAAAAACCAATGTACTTCAACTGTAAGTGTAATAAGTAGAATAGCCACACAGCAACAGTGGTATTGTTCCATCATCATCTTGGGCCTGGAAGTTGCTGGCATATCCACTTCCTACAATTTCGCACTAGGAAATCAAATGCTTAATATCAGAGGGCTTATAAGATCAGAACACACACAACTGCCAGATTTAACATGTTTGGTACAATAGCTGAACATATCTTCAGATTCTTCTTTCAAAAGGAGTATTTAATGAGAAAGTATTTTTTAAAGAAAGTAAAGTCTGTTTAGGGAAAGCTATAAAAAAGTCTACAGTTTAAAAGTGCATGAAATACTTCCATTGTTTCTCTCAGCTGCAGGCTAACTATTAATTCTTGCACTCCTAACATAGGAAAACATTACAATAACACCTCCATCCACTCCCACCCTAATTTCTACAGTTAAGGAGTTGTCACAGTCCCTAGATTTGCTACTCTTTGCATTCCTGTATTAAGATGTTTCAATATAAAGAACTTTAACAAAATAAATAGTGTAAAAAATCAGTTGAAACAAAATCTTGGGCACAGAACATTTATTTGCTTAAGAGATTAGCTTCCTTTGACGGTTATTCATTTGAATAAGGGTTGAACTGTATGCACTGTTTTGCTGTACATGTCTTCTGCACAAAAAAAAATAATTTATACTTTCATTCATGTGATCAATCAGATGGCTGTTCATGTGGTTCCACTGCTAAGATTATTAGCTTGCTCCTTTATGTAAAACTGCTTCACAATGCCTTTGAAGGCTTGCTCTTTTCTCCCCTTCATTATTTGAGAGAGGTGGACACTGATAACATTTTATCAAAGGAGTTATGATAGGTCAGAACTATTTCACTTTTTTAGTGCAGAGTGGACTGTGATTCTGTCTGAATTCCAATAAGTGAAGGTGGCTGTTGGCCACTGACTGCGGATAACACCGGCCTTGGATTTAGACGAGGAGGCATAGAATTAGCTGGGCGGATGAGTGGTGGTGGGGGTTGGTTTAGAGTTGGTCTTGGCTGAATAAATCGTGCTTGTTGCTGAAGTGGTGGAGGTTGACGATGGAGAGCGGGAGCAGCAGGAAGTGTTGGACGAAGTAATGGGGGAGGCTGGTTCAAAGTTGCTACAGGGGTTGCTGGTGCTGGAGCAGATGCCTGTGCCGGAGGTGAAGGACCTAAACATTGAGTAATCTGCATGGCTTGTCCCTACACAAAGACAAAATGGTATGTTAAAAGAGCCATCATGTCCAAAACAAAAAGTGCTTTGGGTTGCCAGTGTCCACAAGCTTTTTCTGTCATTGAAAAACAAAAGTTACCAAGCATTTAATTTCTAAACTGCTGAACAGTGGAAGTAAATACAGAGCGTTGAAGAAACAACAAAGTTCTCTTTTCTAGAATCAGGTAATTTTTTTACATTAATACTGTTCTGCCAAATCCAGTTCTCAATGAGGCTGATATAAGATCAAGATCAGGCCCTCAAGTACACTGGCATATCACCAATCAGATTAACCTTATATTATGTGTCACTGAATTAAGTGCTATTCCTCAACCCATGTTTACTAATATCTGACACACAACACACCTCATCTTCTTCATCAGTGCTCTTTCCTGATGGCACATTAGAAGGATTTTTTGTGTCCTCCCCTAAAGTAGAAGCATCACCATTAGAAGCCAGGGTTCCTTGTTCAGCTTCCCATTCCTGCAACACCTCCTCCAAGTTAAACCGACGCCTGTAGTTTACAAAGAAGTTCTTCACTTGGCCAACAGTCTTGTTGCCAATTACATCTGCAATAGCTTGAAAATCTTTACCATATTTGCGTACACCTGAAAGGAAAAATATACAATACACCTGTGAAGGATCAGTCAACCACAGCTATTTGTGAAGTATGTACAGGCAGTCCCCGGGTTACATCGGATCCCTACTTACAAACGGAGTGAGGCAACCCCGCACTAGCTGCTTCCCCCCAGACGACTAGGGAGACACGAAGCTAGCGCCCCCTCTCTCCAGCAGACCAGGGAGACGCAGAGCGGCTTTTCTCAGCAGACACCTCAGCTTGAGAATAAAGGACTGAGGGAAGTGAGATGTGGGAGAATAAAACTGAGCTCTGGAGAAATGTTTGGCTAGAGTTTCCCCTACAATATGTACCAGTTCCGACTTACATACAAATTCAACTTAAGAACAAACCTACAGTCCCTATCTTGTACATAACCCGGGGACTGCCTGTACTGTGGAAAGAGTGGCCTTTGGAACCAACAGCTAAGCTAATTTTGAAGACTTCTCAGGTAGAAGGTAGACAATAGCCTCCATTTAAAATAAAGAAAAACAAAAACACCCCCAAAACACACACTGACCTTCCTTGCAAAATATAAATCATTCCCTAGAGTTAGGGTTTGTCTCTGATTTTTCCTAAAGATCCTGATAATCAAAGGGCCCTCCCTGCAGCTACACAGGACTGGTCTCTGATGTGTAAAATATCCTTTGATTTTTTTTGGAGGGGGAGAGAATACTCCGTGACCTTTAACTGATGGTTACCATTACAGGACTTCTTTATATACTTTCCCTAAGCTAGCTCTATGCTAAGCTAGCTCCATTCCCAAGGATCCATGTGACATCAGATTGTAATTCAATAGCATGACTCTACTGACTCAGCACAATGCAGAGCAACTGTAGGGATGAAGAATGAAATTGCTCTTTTAATGAGTTATGTATCTACCAATGTGTCTCTGTATACCTGCAAATGGAGTTACTGTAATGAAACTACATTTTATTATTAATGAAATTGTCTACCAATGTGATGTTAAGTAACCTCATGAATTGTGAACTGATTTTTATGAATAGGATTTTATATGAAATAGTGTTAACCGCCCTTGGATAAACTGTGTTAGTAGCTTGTTAAGAACTGCCTTTGAAGAATGTTATTGTAACTCCATTTATACCTAAAATTGACTTAATATTGTAACAGAATTCCGATTTTAAACTTTATATTGTCTTAACTCTGTTTAAAGTTAAGTGTGTGTTTGTAATCTTGCTTAAGAGAGAACAAAAAACAGGACTATGTAGCACTTTAAAGACTAACAAGATGGTTTATTAGGTGATGAGCTTTCGCGGGCCAGACCCACTTCCTCAGATCAAATAGTGGAAGAAAATTGTCACAACCATATATACCAAAGGATACAATTAAAAAAATGAACACATATGAAAAGGACAAATCAAATTTCAGAACAGAAGGGGGATCAGGAGGGGGAACGTAAATGTCTGCGAGTTAATGATATTAGAGATGATAATTGGGGAAGTTATCGTTGTAATGGGTAAGATAATTAATGTCTTTGGTTAACCTTAGGTGTAAAGTGTCGAATTTAAGCATGAATGACAGTTCAGAGGATTCTCTTTCAAGTGTAGTCTTAAAAGGTCTTTGAAGCAGGATGCAGGTAAACAAGTCATATATCTGATTTTTGTTTCAGCTACACCAGACTAACATGGCTACATTTCTATTGCTTGAGAGAGAGAGAGAGAGACGGAATCAGTCCCTGACACAGCTGCCACCTGCATCTTGATGGCTGACTATGACGGGGCATCAAGACCCTGCACTGAGAGCCAGGGACTCTGTGCCCTGGCAGAGAAACCACGGAGCAGATACCGGCTGTGCACCGGCTGCTCCCAAGCTGCGGCTCAGCTGAGTGGAGGTGCGGCTTGGCGGGGCAGCCCCACGGCTCAGCTGAGCGAAAACGCGGCTCAGCTGGGCGAGCGCCAAGATGCCGCCGGAGAGGTGCTGGGGCCAGCCCTGACGGGCCGAAAGGCCAATCAACGGCGCTGACCAGATTGGGGCCGGCCTGGCAGGAGCATCAAATAGCGCCGGGCAACGCGAGCAAGGGGTGGCAGGACGGAGAGACGGGACTCACCAGGAGGGACCTTGGCATTCCCCAACCCATCACCCCGCATTGGGGCCGGCCTGGCAGGAGCATCAAATAGCGCCGGGCAACGCGAGCAAGGGGTGGCAGGACGGAGAGACGGGACTCACCAGGAGGGACCTTGGCATTCCCCAACCCATCACCCCGCTGAGACTCGCCGCCGCCGGGGTAAGGACCACGGAAGGGAGAAAAGGAAGTAGCCCAGGGCAGGGCAGTGAGGAAGTCCATGGGCTGATGCGTTTAGGGGCACACGCCCGTCAGCCGGACCCAGACTGGCAGTCAGTCGGAGTCCTTAGGGCCCTGGGCTGGGGCCCATGAGTGAGGGCGGGCCCGGACCCCCCTTTTCCCCCCTCCGCGTGGGGGAACATGTCGGATGAGGAGTACTCAACGGTGAGGGGCTGGAGAACCTCGCTTACGGGAGACCTGACGTCCCAGGACGGGGATGACGCGGGCAGGTCTAGACATGGCGGACTCGCATCTTCCCATCCCCCTTTCTCCCAGATAGGAAAGGGGGAGGGGGGGTGTCAAGGCCGTCACAAGGTGGTAGAGAATGTGGGTAGCAGGAACTACCCCGCGTCCCCAGGATTAGAAAGGGAGCAAGGGAGCTCCCAGGGGTAGGCACTGAGTTAAGTTCCTTCGCAGCCCCCGGAGCGGGGCACCTCTCTCTTTTTTTTTTTTTTCTTTAAAAAGCGTCCTGAAAAACGCCCGGACCCTGGAGCGCGGGAGGACGGCGCAACAGAAGGCAGGGATGGAGCCGGGAAAGATACTGGCATGGCTCACCAAGCTACAACGGCAGAACCAGCAACAACAGACGCTCCTCATACAACAGCTTTCCGCCCAACATCAGGAACAGCAAAGACAATTAGTAAGGGAGTTGGCTGAACAGTTTCAAAGCCAACAGGAACACTGGACTCGGCAGTACGGGGCACCTACCCGGGGCAGAATGAGCCTGGGGAGCGATGACGCGGATGGGGAAAGTATCCCACACCTGCCCATCCGCCTTACTAAGATGGGGCCGGCGGACGACCCGGAAGCGTATTTGACCACCTTCGAAAGGGTGGCCACGGCAGCGCGGTGGCCAGATGAGCAATGGGCCACGATCCTCGCCCCGTACCTAACAGGGCAAGCCCAACTCGCTTACCACGGACTAAGTGCCCGAGACGCCCTCCACTATTATAAGGTGAAGGAGGCAATACTGAACCAAATGGGCATTACTCTGGAGACATACCGCCAAAAGTTCCGGCAGGAACGGTACCCGAAAGCCCCCTTAATTCCCCTTCCCATGATAGAGGTCCCCTTTGAGCGCATCGCCCTAGACTTAGTGGGCCCTCTCGAGAGAACGAAGGCAGGGTACAAATACATCTTAGTCACGATTGACTATGCCGCCCGTTACCCCGAGGCGGTCCCGTTGAAAAATACCACTGCCACTACTTTAGCGACCGAGCTAATAAGGATCTTCTCCCGGGTGGGGATACCTAAAGAGATCCTTACGGATCAGGGCACAAATGTTACGTCCCGCCTCATGGGAAAACTGTGCCGACTACTTCGGATAAAAGCGTTAAAGACTTCAGTCTACCATCCCCCGATGGACGGGTTAGTGGAAAGGTTTCACAAAACTCTTAAGGGAATGTTACGCAAATTCGTGGATCAGGACCCTGGCGAATGGGACCGCATGTTGCCAGCACTATTGTTCACAATCCGAGAAGTCCCCCAGGCATCAACCGGCTTCTCATCCTTTGAGCTACCGTTTGGGCGTCGACCGCGAGGGATACTTGATGTAATCCGAGAGAACTGGGAAGAACAGACGACCAGAGTGCGAGGAACAGTCCAGTATATCCTCAGCCTCTGCCAAAAATTACATGAATTAAGGGAATTCGCCCGGACAAACCTGCGGGCCGCCCAGGAAAGGCAGGCCAGGTATTAACACGGAGATGCACGGCTACGAACCTTCGAGCCGGGGGACAGGGTACTCCTGTTATTACCTACACAAGACTCGAAGCTGCTGGCCAAGTGGCAGGGGCCCTTCGAGGTCGTACGAAGGATAGGAGACGTAGACTCTGAAATAAGGGCGACAAGGGGCCGAGGAGGCACTAAGATCTACCATGTCAACCTCCTCAAGGCCTGGAAGGATCGCGAAGGCCTGTTGGTAAACCCCATACCCCGCAGGTCCGAATTAGGACCAGAAGCGACGAACGACTCCTCCACAGTATCATTTCAGGTAGAAGCCACCCTGTCCGTGACTCAAAGGAAAGAGATAGAGGACGTCTTACGGAGGTTCCCGGGGGTACTGACAGACCAACCCGGCCAGACGACTGAAATATTCCACCACATCGCGACGGAATCTGGGAAGAAGGTGCGGGACCTGATCCGCCCCCTTCCGAGGAAGATGTGGGACACGGCAAAAGAGGAAGTATGGCGAATGCTGCTGTGGGGCGTAATAGAGGAATCCCACAGTGAGTGGCGGAGCCCCACAGTGCTCGTCCCCAAGTCCGACGGATCTTGGAGGTTCTACATCGACTTCAGGAAAGTAAATGTTCGATGCCTACGCCATGCCCCGCGTGGATGAACTACTCGATCATCTGGGGGATGCCCAGTATCTCTCCACCCTCGACTTAACATGCGGACACTGGCAGATACCACTAACCCCGCACTCGCGGGAAAAAACAGCATTCTCGACCCCCTTTGGGTTATACCACTTCATACGAATGCCCTTCAGCCTGCACGGGGCCGCCTCGACCTTTCAACACTTAATGGACAAGGTCCTGAGAAACCATGGGTGCTACGCGGCGGCCTACATTGATGATATCATTATTTAGGACCACGGAAGGGAGAAAAGGAAGTAGCCCAGGGCAGGGCGGTGAGGAAGCCCGTGGGCTGATACGTTTAGGGGCACACCCCTGTCAGCCGGACCCAGA